CACTAGCATATCATGACGAACACTTTTGCTTAACACAGGTACCCAATAACTGTAAGTAACATCTTCATATGAGAAGATTTAGAATTTCAGTACAGCTAGGAGAAAGTATGTATGGCATCTGTAAAATGAAAGGCCAGTGTAGAGAAAAAATCTTGTTTGCGCCTGTAGAGGACTACCCTGAAAATTGCCTTTCCCAACATTGCTGTTAATGACATTCAATTAAGAATTCTCTCCCTGGGGCCTGCTCGGTCACACAAACATTTGGGTGTGCATGCTCCGATTCGGTGGCCTGTGGTTTGCAGTTTCCCAACCTCGGGCACGCACCAACGCACTTCTTGCCATGACATGCTGTGGTGATGTCCCATATAAAGTAGAGGAAAATGGGGACAGATGTTAGCTCAGGGCCAATCTTCCTCAGCAAAAATGTGGAGGATCAACATCGGACATTACCTCAGGGCTGATCTTCTTCATACACAAAAGAAATAGAATTCTCTCCCATGTAATGCCAGAATGTTCTTGCTTAACTCTGCTTGCAAATTGGTTTAAGGAGGATCTACCCCTTAGAACTTTTAATCTATCCACTGCAGCTGGGAGAGAATGTCTATAATTTCCAACTAATGAACATACTCTATGGAGAACAACATTTCCGTTTAGTTTTTGAGAATCATAATGGAAAGTGCCTTTTCTTCTTTTTGGTTCATTGCCTGCTCTGAGGTTGCCTTCCCAATGGAAAGACAAAATACCACTGCTCAACCACTTTTGCAGGTAGCAAGGAAGGATATAACTTCCTGCCCTGTCTCTCTTCCTTCCAGCAAGTGAGGTCCACCTTCCTTAACCAGGTTTGGTACATATTGTCATTTCGGGCCTTGAGAAGAAATATCACATTCCTTTGAGAAGGCACTTTCTGATCCCGGGTTCTAAGTAGAGCTCTAGGAGCAAGTTAGTAAATGAGTGGCAATGATTACTAGAACTTAGCTAAACTATGTATTACACCCATTGCTAGAAAGAACTTCATGCCCAATCTCTCTTCCTTCCATCTCATAAGGATCAGAAACCTAAAACAGGTATGTAACAGAATGCTGTTTGGGCCTTGAGATTGAATCTCAAATTCCTTTGAGAGAGGACTTTCTGACCCAGGCTTGTAAGTAAATGTCTAGAAATGACTTGGTATAGGAGAGGCAATTATTACTACAGCTGAGCTAAACTATGGATAAGACCCATTTCTGGAAATATCTTCATACCCAATCTCTCTTCCTTTCAGCTCTGAAGGATTGCATTCATCAAACAGGTTTTGAACATATTGCTGTTTCGAGCCTTAGGAAGGAATATCACCTTCCTTTGGAAAGGAACTTTCTACTCCCAGCTTGTAAGTAGATGTCTAGGAACAAGTGAGTATATGAGTGGCAATCATCACTACAGCTGAGCTCAACTGTATAAAATACCCATTCCTAGAAGAAGCTTGGTGCTCAATTTCTCTTACTTTCAGCTCGTGAGAATCACCTTCTTAAACCAGGTTTAGAACATAATGCCATTTCGGTCGTTGAGAACAAATCTCACATTCCTCTGAGATGAACCTTACTGATAACTTCTTGTAAGTAGATGTCTAGGAAAAGGTTTATATTGGAGCATCAATAATTACTACAGCTGAGTTAAACAATTTATAATACCCATTCTTCGAAATAACATCACGTACAAACTCTCTTCCTTCTAGCACTAAGCATCAATAAACTAAACCAGTTTTGGACCATATTGCCATGTTAGCCTTGAGAAGGAATGTTGCATTCCTTTTAGAAGGCATTTTCTGATCCCTGATTGTAACTAGATGCCTAGGAACAAGTTTGCATATGAGTGGCAAGCATTACTAACACTGAGCTAAGCTATGTATAATACCCATTCCTGGAAATAACTTTGTGTTTCATTTCTCTTCCTTCCAACTCATAAGGATCACAAAGCTAAACCAGGTTTGGAACATATTGCCATGTCACTCCTTGAGATGGAATCTCATATTCTTTTGAGAAGGCACATTCTGATCCTGTCCAGAATGTTGAATTCTAGGAACAAGTTTCTATATGAATGTTTATCATTACTAGAGCTGAGCTAAACTGTGTATAACAACCATTCCTTGAAATACTGTGTGCCTCATCTCTCAACCTTCCATCTCATAAGGATCACAAACATAAACCAGGTTTCATACATCATACCATTTTGGGCCTTGAGAATGAATCTCACACTTCTTTGAAGACACATTCTGATCCCCACTTCTAAGTAGATGACCAGGAACAAGATTCTATATAAGTGGCAATCATTACTACAGCTGAGCTATTCTTTGAATAACACCCAATCCTGAAAATAACTTCACGCCCAATCTATCTTCCTTCCAGCTCGTAAGGAAGACCTTCCTCAACCAAGTTGGGAACATATAGCCATTTCAAACCTTGAGACAGAATCTCACATTCCTTTGAGACAGCAGTTTCTGATCACAATGTGTATGTAGATGTCCAGGATCAAGTTTGTATATTAGTGGCAATCATTAAAACAGCTGTGCTTCACTCTTCCTTCCATCTCGTAAGAATCAAAAACCTAAACAAGGTTTGGAACATAATGCCATTTTAGGCTGTTGAGAACAAATCTCACATTCCTTTGTGAAGGCACTTTCTGATCCCGGCTTATAAATAAATGTCTAGTAACAAGTTTGTATATGAGTGTCAATAATTACTACAGCTGAGCTAAACTATGTATAAGCACCATTCCTCAGATAACTTCCTACCCCATCTCTCTTCCTTCCAGCTCTAAAATATTACATTCATAAGAAAGGTTTTGAATGTAATACCATGTCAGGCCTTGAGAAGGAATCTCACGTTACCTTGAGATGGAACTTCCTGATCCCAGCTTCTAACTAGATGCCTAGCAACAAGTTTGTCTATGAGTGGGAATCATTACTACAACTGAGCTGAACTATGAATAACACCTATTCCTGGAAATAACTTCGTGCCCCTTCTCTCTTCCTTCCATATCATAAGGCCCACCTTCGTCAACCATGTTTGCAACATATTGCCATTTCCAGCCTTGAGAAGGAATCTCATATTCCTTTAAGAAGACACTTTCTGATCCCTGCTTCTAAGTGTATGTCCAGGAACAAGATTCTATAAAAGTAGCAATCATTTGTACAACTGAGCTATTCTATTAATAACATCAATTACTGGAAGAAAACTTCATGCCCAAACTCTTTTACTTCCAGCTCATAAGTACCACCTTCCTCAACAAAGTTTGGAACATATTACTGTTTCAGGCCTTGAGAAGGAATATCACATTCCTTTGAGAAGTCACTTTCTGATCCTGGGGTTATGTAGATGTCTAGGAACAAGTTTGTATATGAGTGGCAATCATTACTAAAGCTGAGCTAAACTATGTATAACGCCCATTCGTGAAAATAACTTCATGCCCCATCTCCCTTACTTCCAGCTAGTAAGGATCTCAAAACTAAGCCCTGTTTGGAACATATTGCAATTTTAGGCCCTGTGAAGGAATCTCACATTCCTTTGTGAAGGCACTTTCTCTTCCTGGCCTGTATGTAGATTTCTATGAACAAGTTTGCTTATGAGTGGCAATCATGACTACAGGAGCTAAAGCATGTATAACAGCCATTCCTGGAAATCACTTTGTGCCTAAGATCTCTATCTTCATCTCATCAGTATCATCTTTCTCAACCAGTTTTGGAACATCATGCTGTTTTGGACCTTGAGAATAAACCTCATATGGTCCAGCCCCATGTTTCAGTAGTTAAGTGCACACGCTCCACCTCTGGTGGCCTGGTTTCAGATCCCAGGCATGCACTGACACACCGCTTGTCAGACCATGCTGTGGTGGCATCCTACCTAAAGTGGAGGAAGATCACCACAGATCTTAGCTCAGGGCCAGTCTTCCTCGGCAAATAGACAAGGATTTCCATGGATGCTAGTTCAGGGCTGATCTTCCTCACAAAAATAAATAGAAGTTACCTCATATTCCTTTCAGAAGGAACCTTCTTATCCCAGCTTCTAAAGTAGAAGTCTAGGAACAAGCTTATATATGATTGGCAATCATTACTACAGCTGAGCTAAACTGACTAACAGCCATTCCTGGAAATAACTTCATGCCCAAACTCTCTTCATTCCTGCTTGTAAGGGCAAACTTAGTCAACCAGGTTTGGAACATACTGCCTTTTTGGGCCCCTAGAAGGAATCTCACATTCTTTGGAGAATACACTCTCTGAAACCGCCTTCTAAATACATATCTAGGATCAAGTTTGTACAGGCGTGGCAGTCATTACTACAGCTTAAAAACTAGGTATAAATCCTATGCCTGGAAATAATTTTATACATAATCTCCCTTCCTTCCATCTCATAAGGATCACAAACCTAAACCAGATTTGGAACCTAATAACATTTCGGTTGTTAAGGAGGAGTCTCACATTGCTTTGAGAATTGCTAAATGATTTCTGTTTCTATGATGAAATTCTCACTTGTTCATGCACTGTTTCCTTATTTCATTTAGTAGTCTATCTGTGTTTCCTTAGAGTTTTATGAATTTCTCAAAGAGGGTTGTTCTGAAGTCTTTGTCACATAGTTCCTATATCTCCATTGCTTGGTCGGTCATTGGAGTTTTATTCTTTTTCTTTGGTGGTGTCATGGGTCTTTGATTATTCATGATCCTTGTGGCCTTCCATTGATGTCTGCAAATTTGAGGAAGTAAACCTCTTCCACTCTATACAGACTGGATTTAGCAAACCAAAGCCTTCACAGTCAGCTCATCTAGGGGTCTTGGGTAGGTCATCTGGTGGTGTCCAGGGGCAGGCTTGCTGCTGGAGTCCTTGGGCAGCCTGGTACTGAGGTGAGTGGATAGCTTGGGTCCATGGTATCGTGTCTGGCCCTGGGCACATCTGGGACCCTGAGTTCATGAGTAACCCTACTGGAGCCTGGTTTAGCAGGTCCTGATTGAGAGCCTGCAACCAGAGGAGTCATCGAGGGCCATGGGAGTTGACCAGTGCTGGGATGAGCTGAGAGCCTTGGTTCATGGGATCCTGCCAGGAGCCTGATGTTATGAGAGACAGCTTGCGCTGGGGTAGGCCAGAAGTCTGGATTCCTGGGAGCCTGCTGGGAGCCTGGGGCCACAGGAGCTGCCTGAGGCTGCTGAAGCCAGCAGGCACTGGGTCAAGATGGAAGCCTGGGTTCGTGGGAACCTGCTGGTGCCTGGTGCAATGGGAGTTGCCTGTAGCCACCTGAGTCAGCAAGCACCTGGGCTAGCTGAGGGCCTGGTTTTGTGGGAGCCTGCCAGGAGTCTGGTTCCATGAGGGCTGTCTACGGCTGCTGGAACTGGCAGATGTTGTGGTGATCCAGGGGCATGAGTTCCCAGCAGCCCACGGGGAGCCTGGGGCCATGGAATCTACCTGGGGTTGCTGGAGCCAGCAAGTGCTGGAGTGACCTTGGGTCCTGGGTTTGTGGGAGCCCACTCTGTGCCCTGTTACAGAAGCTGCCTGTGGCTGTTGGTGCTGCCTGTGGCTGCCTAGAGTAGACAGGAACTTGGGTGAGCCAGAGTCTGGATTCACCAGAGCCTACCAGGAGCCTTGTACCAAGGACATCACTTGGGGTCACAAGAGCCACCTTGGGCTGCTGAAGATGGCAGCCCCTAGGCTGCCAGATGGGGACCTGGCTTCCCAGGAGACTAGTGGGAGCCTGGTGTCAAGAATGCTGCTTGGGGCCACCAGAGCTGGCATGCTCCAGGGTGAGCCAGGGGCCTGGATTTGCAGAAGCCTACAGGGAGCCAGCTAGGTCCACAGGAGTCAGCCTGGGGCTGGGGCAGGCTGGCTCAGGGGTCTATGGTGAAGTGAGGCAGAGTGGAGAAGTCCCTTCTTTTTGGGAGGTATTTGATTACTGATTCAGTCTGCTTATTTGTTACTGATCTGTTCAAGATTCCTATTTCCTCATGATTCAGCTTTCGTAGGTTTTTTCTAGGAATTTATCAATTTTGTCTAGGTTATCCAATTTATGAGTGTACACTAGTTCAGAATAGTGTCTTCTGATTTTTTTTTCTGAAGTATCAGTTATAATGCCTCTTCTTTCATTTCTGATTTAGTTTATTTGAGTCATCTCTCTTTTTTTTCCTAAATATTTTATCTAAGGTTTTATCAAATTTATTGTTTCAAAAAATCAACTTTTACTTTTATTGATCTTTCATACTTTCATTTTTTTCCACTCTCGGTGACTTCCATCCTTCTGCTCACTTTGGGCTTCATTTTTTCTTTTCTAATGCTGTGTGTTGTAAGTCAGGTTGTTTCTTTGACATCTTTCTTCTCTTATAATGTAGAAGTTTATCACTATAAACGTTCCTCTTAGTACTACTTTTGCTGCATCCTATAAGTTTTGGCATGTTTATTTTTTCTTTTTGTATGTATTTGGCTATTTTCTAATTTCCTTTTTGATTTCTTTTTTGATATACTTTTAAGTTTAAGAGTTTTTTTGTTGAACTTCCACATATTATGAATGTTCCAGTTTTCCTTCTGTTATTGACTTCTGGTTTCATGCCATTGTGTTTGGAAAACATACTTGGTATTATTTCAGTTCTCTTAATCTTTCTTGTTAAGACTTGTTTTGTGACCTAACAGGTGATCTGTTCTTTAAAATAGTCCATGTGCCCTTGAGAAGAGTGTGCATTTTGTTACTGTCCAGTAAAATGTTCTGTGTATGTCTGATAGGTCCATTTAGTATTTAATGTTTTCATGTCTGCTATTTCCTGATTTTCTGTCTGGATATTCCATCCATTGTTAAAAGTGAGGTATTGAAGTCTCCTACTATTTGCAACTTATATAACTGAGAAGACTCTAATATTGAGAATATTATAAAGATCTCTTAGAATTCAATTGTAAAAGACAAGTCAATGAAAAGGGGTAACCAGCTGGGATAAACATGGTTCCAGGAAATACATAGACGGCCAATAAGTACGAGATAGATGCTCAGTATCATTAATAATTAGGAAAATGCAAATTCAAAGCACAGTGTGATACTAGTTCATGCTCAAAATGAAGGCTATATTCAACATAATGGAAAGTGACAAGTGTTGGTAAAGATGTGGAGAAAGGGAAACCCACATACATTACTGTTAGGAAAGTAAAATGATGCAGCCACTGAAGAAAATAGCTTGGCATTTTTAAAAATCTTAAAGCTAGAATAACCATTGACCTGGACAGGCCCATGGCATATGTCCAAAAGAGCAAACTTGCCCATGGACATTCAAAGCGACATTGTTCACAATGATCAAAAAGTGGAACAAACCCAAATTTCTATCCAGTAATGACTGCATAAACCAAATGTGGCCTGTTAATAATATAGGATATTATAGTGCCATAAAAAGTAATAAGGTATTGCTACATGCTAGACCATGGATGAACCTTGAAACATGTGTGCTCATTGAAGCCGTCCACAAAGGCCACAGATAGCATGATGCCATTTGAATGAACTGTTCAAAATAGGCAAATCCATAATGGGAGAAAACAGATGAGTTGTTTCCATGGGCTTGAGTTAGGAGAAAATAAAGTGTGAATGAGTATGGGTTTGTTTGGGGGTGTTGAAAATGTTCTGGAACTAGATAGTGGTGATAGCCACACGACTTAATCATTGTACTAAAAGCCACTGAACTGTATACTTTAAAATGCTTACAACGGAGTATTCTACGTTAAGCAGATTTTTCTCCCATAAACATTTTGAATTTTTTAAGTTAATCAGAGTATTGATTAATTTTAAGTTGGTTGGGATATTTAATAAGGGTAATTAATGGAGTTATTAGGGGTAGAGCAGGTTGTAGCCAAGAGAGTAAACATCTGATGAGGGCTACAGTAACAAATCCTATGATTATACAGGCAACAGTCTAAAATCCAGTCCATTGTCATTTTTCCCAACTTGGAGAGACCAGCCATGAAAATAGGTCAATGATCTCGGGGCCTTGGGTATCTGTTCAAAGATTTGGGTAATATTATGCAATATTTTTACCTCTTGGGCCATTTGGTGGAGGTAGGTTCGAACTTGTGTGTTGATGTACATTCAGCAAGTGGTTCTAGGAAAGGCACAAAGCCCTCCTTCCTTGGCCCGTATAGACAGTCCGGGGCCAGGCCATTTTCTAAAACCATTTAGGCAAGAGGCTCATGAGACTGTTGTACAAGGGCTAGGATAGATTCCTACGGAGTTGTTGTCTGTGTCGTGTTAAAGTTGTCGATACTTCTTGGTTGCCTCATTTCCTGATTTTGTATGGGTAGGGCCAATGCACCTGTGCCAAGTCCAGTTAGTCAATCCTAGCAGAACTGAACACTCAGTGCTATAGGACTGATGGTGTCTCTATGGCTATTGTGGTAGCCAAACAGGGCAGGAAACTCAGAGGACCTGCGACCTAAGGGAAGCAGGCTGAGAGAGACAATGGTGCATTGCAGAATATAGTCTGGAGAAAGCTGTTCAGAGGGCTGGGGAAGAGAGAAGCTCACTTGGTGAGAGCCTTGTGATGTCAGCCCACAGTAAAACTCAAAAGTGGATGCTTCTGGTGTATTCCTAATATTCATTAGGGATCTTGGAGGTAAAACCAGTAATTTGCACCCATTTGCTTGTTACCTGTGCTATATGATTTCATGGGGTATGGCTAAAGTGTTTGAGGGCCAAGAGCTGTTTGGGCCTGTGCACAAAATCACCAAGATGGCCTCAAAGTCTACCCCAAAATGACCCCTCAAGGAGCAGTTGGGGCAGAAAGTGGGTGGAGCATTTTGAAGGAAGCCTGGGGCAAAGATGGTGTTGTTTGATGCAGTTGGCTAAAACTGAGTGTCTCCATTGGGTGAGCCCTTCAGCTGGGGTACAATAGGTGATTGGAGGCCAACTGACATACCCTGCGACTCCTGATTCCCAGTGCATGGGCATCCCTCTCAGCCCATTGGACATAAATGATGGTGGTGTTTCTGAATCATCTTGCTGGCAGTGTGGAACGTGTGGTGGGAGATGTTATGATAGTGTCTGGAGGAGCTGTGTGTGAGATTACAGTGTTGAAGGGGAAGGACTGGAGGCAGGTGCAGGGGGTGTGTGACCAACAATGGTCAGTGAAGGGACAGCCGGGGTGTAACTGGGGAAATCAGGGACCTGCAGAAGTCATGTGATTAAAACAAGACACCAGGCCCAAATGGAGCCCCTTAGGCTATGCACCACATCAACAATTCAAAACCTAAATAGACTTTTGGCCCTCCCAGGAATAGAATCTTAAACCAGTCAATGGGTGATCGCCTGACAAGCAGCAGGTAGGTCATCTTCCTGATAGAGCACTACCATCCCCTAAAGGAAGGTAACCTTGCAGTAAGTAACCCTCTTTTATGTCTAACGTAACTTCCTTGTTCCTGCTGCCTTCTGCCTATAAAAGTTCTTCATTTTGTACAGCTCCTTGGAGCTCCTTTCTCTCTGCTAGACTGGATGCTGCCTCATTCATGAACTGTTGAATAGAGACAATAAGATATCTTTTATTTTGTTTTGTACCAGTTTGGTGGCAGCAGTGGGATCCAAAGGAGACATCTGATGGCTTCGGGGATGAGAAACACAGGCATTGGTACCCGCAAAACCTTTGAGTTCTACATCCTTTTTGCTGTTCTGAGGGCCGTCGGTAAGTTCCTCTCAGATCTGTGATACACTCTCTTTGCGTTGAGCTCCTGATTTAACTGGCTTTCCAGTCCAGGATCAATCGGTCAGTCTAGATTGACAGGATGCTCTATCAGAGCATCAGTCTTAGCCCTTGGCTAGTCCGCAGTGCCAGACAAAGGCTTAGAGGGTCAGCTTGAGCTGACAGATGATTCTACCAAGAACCTGAGTCTCTGGCCCTTGCTTAGTCTACAGTTCCTATTTGTTGGGGTCTGCTCATTGAGTCTGTAGTCGCCACGTGTTAGGGTCTGCTGGTTTAGTCTGTAGTTTTTGCCAATGGAGAGAAGTGGAAGAAATGTATGCTCCATGCACACCCAGTCCTTGAAAATTTCCCAAGTGCATTTTACATGCATTTTACCCTCTGCTGACTGTCGATGGGTTCTAAGGAAATGGTGAAGGCACAGTGAAAAGGAATTGTGTTTTTCTGCATGACTACCTTGAGGACAGCCACCACCTCAAACTGAACAGCTACCCGGAACTACTAGAAATGAGAGACATCCCATCACTATGGATTGGAAGACTCCTTATTGTGACGATGTCAGCATTATCCAAAGAGATCAACAAATCCAGTGCAGTCCTTATCAAAACCCCAAGGGCGTTTTGTGCTGAAATAGAAAAAAAAAACCATCCTAAAATTCTTATGGTATCTCAAGTAAGCCCAGATACCAAAAATAATCTTGAAAGGAGATACTAAGTTGGAGGACTGATTCTTCCTGATTGAAAACTTACTATAAATCTACAGTATCAAAACAGCATTGTCATGGCATAAAGACAGACATATTGACCAATGGAAACAGAATCGAGTGCCCAGAAATTAACGCTCACCCGTGTGATCAAATGATGTTTGACAAGGGTGCCAAGATTATTCAATGAGGAAAAGTCTTCTCGACAAGTTGTCTTGGAAAAAGTGGATATCTACATGCAAAAGAATCAACTTGGACCCTTACCTAACACCACATACAAAGCTTAATTCCCAGTAAATCAAAGACCTAAATGTAAGAGCTAAAACTATAATACCCTTAGAAGAAAACAGCAGGGAGACAGGAGAAAAAGGTTAAATTCTTCTCCCTGGTGGGCTGTTGAAAATGGCTTTTTAAGGGCAAAGCAGTGGGTGCCGGAATGTTGGGGGCAGTCCTAGGCATTTTGCACAAGAAGATTTTCATGTTCTGTCATACATCCCACGTTCAAAAGGCAGTGTCCTTAACATGATCGGCAGGGGAGTTCTTGGTCCCCCAGGTCATCCTCCAGTCACTTGTGCAGCCACGGTTTGAGTCTTGCCAGCCGTCTTGTGGACTCACTGGCTCAAACCAGTTGAAACTTGCTCAAGGAGAAAAAATGGAGTTTCTGAAAAACAACTCATGGCCCAAGACTAGATCTTTAGTAAATATCATATGGAACGTGGCTTAAGAAAGTTGTCTCCAAGGGACCGTAGATAAAAGTCTGGTTGGGGCCCCATTTGACTTTGGGCTTGATTTTGGACCCGGATATGGTATCTGTGCTGGGAAGTATGGATATGCAAAATGTGGAATATACATACAATATCATATTATTCATCCTTAACAAAGGAAGGAAATTCTAAGATATGGCACACCATGGATGAACCTTCAGGATATTACTCTAAATGAAATAAGCCTGTTACAAAAATACAACCTTGTGTGATTTCCCTTCTACGAGGTTCCTGAAATCGCCAGATTCAGAGAGACAGAAAGTAGAATGCTGTTTGCCAGGATCTGGGTGGAGGAGGAATGGGGGGTTATTCATGAATGGGTATAGAGTTTCAGTTTTGCAGGATGAGAAGAGTTCTGAAGATGGATCCTGGTTTGCACTGCAAACCAGTGCAATGATTGCACTGCAATATTAATGTCTTCAATACACTTAAAGTGTACTTAATGTATCGATGGGGCCTGATGATTTGTCCTGGCTGAGCAAATGTTTGTGCTGTTGCACATCTTACCCCTCACTGTACAGTTGGGAAACTGGCCCAGAAAGAGACAAGTACTGGCCCAGACCACAGGAGGTAGTCAGGGTCCTGAAGACTAGATGAAGCTCCAGCTTCCTTGGCCAAGGCTCCGCCCCTTCCCTCAGGTTTCCTTTGGTAATGAAAGGCATTAAGATCCTAGGGGGTTGCTGCCCACCCCTGTCCATATGGGGTCATTTTCCTCTTCTCATCATCGAATGTGCACAAGCACACCCACTCACACTGACTTATCATGTGGGGGCCAAGGAGGTGCACTCAAGAAAGAGCCAACACCAGGGAAGTGACAAGAGGCAGGAGGGAGAGAGGTTGGAGGCAGCTCTCCCACAGGGCCATAGCATCCGTTCTCCTAGATACGTGCCCAGGCGCCCAGAGATGGGCAGAGGAATCCCTACGGTTCCTAGGTTTCTACCTGTTCCAGACCCATCCTGGGCCAATCTTGGAGAGCACAGGACTGGGGTCCTGCAGTCCACCTCTGTGGGCACCCAGAGCTGTGATGAACACATCCTCCTCTTGTTTAGGCATTGGGAACAGAAGAGAAGACCTTAGTGAGGGTCCTCCTGTATAAAGCGGAGTGCTTCCAGTGGTTGATTCCAAGGGTTTCATGCACTCGCAACGTGTCTGTTGGACTAGGTTCTCTGTTGATGACCTACTGTGCTCTGAAACACTAAGAAAATGCTTTCCACCCACATGAGATCATTTAGAACTGAGGAGGCTCGGGGACGTGGGTGGATGAGAAGTTGGAATAGGGAAGAAGATGCCAGAGGACTGGACACCAAGTCTAGAGACGAGAGAGAAGACCAGTCCTTGTTCTCATCTGGAGGTCCAGAGGTCCTCATCTGGAGGCAGGGTCATTGTCCTGGTTGAGGTTGGATGCCTCACGAGTCAAGAGGACACCTGGTGGGGGACAGCAAGTTGGGGGAAAAGGTAGGCTCCCGAGATTCCTCCCACTCCCTCGAAAGTGACAGGTCCTGCTCTTTTACCCCTAGGAGTCTGGGGAGCCTCTGTCTTGAGGACACCTGAAGAAAGGTTCCTTTCTGTTTGGTGGCGTTTTGGCGAGGGCTGCAGTGCTAGTGCTTGCCACCAGCGGACGGGCAACCACTTGTGTCAGTGGTGCCCAGTGAGTTTTTGTTTTTATTTTTTTCTGTTGTATTGAGATATACTTGATACACAACACTCTGAAAGTTAACATTGCTGTGTGGTATATTTGAAAGTTGCTAAGAGAGTAGATCCTAAAACTTCTCATCACCAGGAAAAAACCTTTTATTTTTGTTTGGTGATTGATGTTAACTAAACTTATTTTGGTAACCATTACATGGTTATTACATAATATATATTACATATTACATACATATTACATAATATATATATACATCGAGTCCTGCTGTTGTAAACTTGGCATTTACACGGTGTCCACTGAACTTTACTTGACTACTGGAGCAGCGAAGATTCAAGCAGAGGTCTTTCTGCCTGTCCCCCTGTCTCAGAAACAACTTTTACATCCTATTACTAGTGTCCATCTCCCCAATCAAAGTTGGTCAGAAGCAGGGTGAGGGGTGCAAGATCTTGCCATGTACTCATTCAGCAGCTGTGCACCGAGCACTCACCCTGTGCCAAGTGCCCTGGTGAGCCAAAGTGCAGGATGAAAATGACAAAGTAGTCCCTGCCTGCCAGGAGCTCACAGTCTAGAGGGGAAATGGACCAAAGCAAAGACATGAGCAAGAAAAGAACAAGTGCTGTAGAGAAACACAGCAGGAGGCTATGAGGGAGGGCTGGGCGTCACTGGGTAGGAGGGTCTGAAAGGCCTCACTGGGGTGACATTTCATGGGACCAGAATAACAGGAGGGAGCCAGCCTTTCAGGGGTCTGGGAGCAGTGTGTCAGGGAGAGGACACCACTGGTCCTGAGTCTCACAGGCAGAAGTGAGTTTGGCCAGAGGAGGTTAGAAAAGTGGCCAGTGCAGCTGGAGGGATGTTGGGAGGAGAGAACAGGAGCTGGGGTGGAAGGTAGGGCCAGGGCCTGGTAGGCTGTTTCACATACCTTTCCCTCTCTGACTTATTTGTCCCTAACCTTGCATTTCAAAACTACAAATATTGACTATCTCACAATTTGTGTGGATCAGCAATCTGGCACGTTTTATCTGGGTGCCTCTGCCTCAATCAGTTTAACAGGTTAGGGCTGTGGCTTCAACTGAGGCTCTACTGGTGGAAGACTGGTCCCCAAGTTCACTCTCAGCCTTCAGGGTTCAGTTTGGACTGAGAGCCTGAGTTTCTTTCTGTTGTCCTGAGCACTCCCGTGCTTCTCTCCTCTATAGGCCTCCACATTGGGCAGCCCCAAAACACTGGTATTTGATTCCTCAGTTATAGGGATTCGACAGAGTGTGTGTGAGAGAGAGAGATGGAACATGAAAGAGGGAGTAAGAGGAAGTGAGACATTTTTTAGTTAAAATTTAGACAAGACATCCCATCAATTTGGCTGTTATTATGTTCAGAAGCCAGTTACTAACTACTTAGTGGTTCCACTGGGATGACTATACCATGGGTGGGTCTTACTGCGTACTACTGTGGAGGCTGCCCTCCTCATAGGCCAAGATGAGGCACTTGGGTCTCATTCTACATAAAACAGGAAACAATTCAATGGTTTTATGCTGCAGGATGGCAATATCTAAATTTCCATTAGTTTCAACCTCCTCATGATGCTGACCTGAAAATGAGGCCAAGTTGGAAGCGACTGTTCCAATATCATATTGCTAGAACCCAGGCCTGTTTTGAGTGGTGTTCTGTGTTACATGTCACACTTTTTTATAATTCTTGCATCTCTAAGTTTAGGTACAGTGACACTAGCCCACAGGGGTAATAAATATTGTGTCATATACACCGTGTGATGTCCCTAGGAAGTAGATTCTAGCTTGATCCCCATGGTGCAGGTTTGGAGACTGGGGAGGACCTGAATGGCACAAGGACTTTCCCAAGATGCAGAACCAGTAGGAGAAAGGAGGTCTGCATTCATTTCTGTCTCCTCAAAGCTAGGACCCGGCTTAGGTTTCCAGGGATTTGTGGCTATGGCTCTGTAGGCTCCTTGTGTACAGTTCAGGAGATGACATGGGGAGGAGGCTGAGCGGTCCAGGCACAGGGAGCAGCTCTGGACAAGTCTGATTGAGGGAAGGGGCCCAGGTAAAGGAATCTTGAAAAATGAGCTCACTTCCTTGGTCATAGACCTCGACAGAGCTTAGAACTCTGGTAACCAGGCACCCACAGCTCCCCATCCAGCTCACTTGACTGGAAACAGTCAACAGGCAAAAATATTTTGTTGTTGTATCCCAACTTTTAGAGGATCTGGGCTCAAAAAAGCCCAGAAAGAGAATCTTTTTGGTGTTGCCGATGTTGGCTCAGCCCTCATCCCCGACGCATCTTGGCGTCTGGCAGGAGGCAGTGCCGGCCAGGACACAACTGTGATCCCACCTGATCAGCCCCACACCCCTTGCCCCTCATCATGTGTACATGTCCATGTGTGTCTGTGAGGAGGGGGGGAAGGCAGGGCATGAGGTGCAGGTTATTCCTGGGCAGGAGCTGGTGGTTAGGTGTCGGAAGCCTGGTGGGTCTGTCATGTTCATACCCCAGGTCATGGCTGGCATCATGAGAAGGTGAGCTCCTCCACTCACATGTTACTGAGCCATAGAGGTTTCATCTCCTTCCCTTCCTGACCACAGTTCTTTGCAGGGTTGTCCCTCTGTGCCTGAACAGAGGAGCAGACTTTCTCTTGGGGGATGACCCCAGTGGCAGTGTGCAGACAGCCCCTGATTCCTTCTGGCCCAGCTCCCGGGCAGTCTTTGCAGAACTCCACCCAGGAGGTCGTCGAGGAGCTGCCCAATGGTTTCAGCTCCACCAACTCACTAGACAAGGGGCAGGTACATGAGACCACTCACACCATCCAGTGCTGCTCTGAGATGAGAGCAGGAGCAGAAGGTCTCCACACTCAGAACCTTGAGATGATGGGGTTGGACCAGAACTAGGGCAGGACCAGACTGGGGCTGTCCCTTTTTCAAGCTAAAGGGGATGTACATGCAGGTAACCTTGCCTGGTTCTGAGCCGAGCTGCCATGACTCTCTTACCCTTGCCCAGTGTGAGCTTCTGGAGGCCACTGAGGCAGAGCCAGAGGGTAAAGGGGACTGCAGCCTGGGTATCCCTGGAAGGGAAGTGGGATCTTTTCTGTGTTTAGAAGGACATATGGAAAGTTAGTTATATGGGTAAACCTTTCTCTTTATCTCGCTCCAGCGCCAGCTGCAGAGCTCCAGCCAGCGGCAGAAGCAGAGCAGTGGGCAGTGGGGGAGGTAGAGCTGGCTCCAGCTCCATTGACATCACCCCTTCTAGCACTGGAGTCAGTGTCCCCTCCATCAGCAGTGTTGGAGCTGGAGCAAGGGCCAACATCGGCTCCAGCAGGAGTGGGAGCTGCTGAGCTGGAGTCACCTGAACCATCATTTCTAGTGGGAAGTCCATCTCCACCTTGCCTGTTAAGGAGCGTGAGAAGAAGCCTAACCTCACAGCCTTCCCTCCTAAGCTGGTAGTGGAGCAATTGACTGTGATGGAAGTGGTGAGCAGCTGGGCTCTCAGGGTGTGGTGGAGCAGGACTTCCCTCTCCCATTATTGCCCCAGACCTGATCCTGACTCCTATGATCTGGGCCCAAATCCTGGCTTCAATCGTCACCAACCATAAGACCTGGGCAACTTTCTGAACCCCCAAGACATTGCTGTCCACCTGCAGACCGTATAGGTGGACATTAAGAGGACCTGTTGCAAGGAGTGGCTGTGCCAACTCCATGAGGTAGAAGAGATAGAAAGCTGGGCAGGTCCTGGTTTATCAGTAAGGAGGTGAATTCACTGTGTGCAGCCAGGTCCCTGGTGACCCAACCGTCTTCTCAGGAGGCTCAACAGCCTCAAGACTTATTAGACACCTGATGTGTACTTCACTACAAGGGAGACAGACAAGGACCGTGGTTGTAGCTGCCACGGGGGAATGTGCATCAGAATGGGGAGTGCGACCAGAGGGAGTATCAGGGTGGTGGAAGATGTCCCCTTGGGATGAGCCGAGTTGAGATATCATCTGGATCTTGGAGTTATCCAGGACAGGGTGGGTGCAAATGCCCCTCTCCCTTCCATGCCAGTATTGGGTCCTGGGTCATCCTGTGCTGGGTGTCCTCGGTGGACAGAGAAGAAAAGCCAGGGACTCTCACAAGGCTCAGGCCACATCCTGAGCTTCCTGAGCTCCAGCTCTAAACTGACCCCTGTGTGGGACTTTGGAGGCTGTGGACACAGAGCTGGGGTGTGGCAGGGTTGGGTGACACACCCCTGTTCCCCAGGAGCTCTTCTGGAAGGTGTTGCCCTCTCAGTGTCTGGGATCCCCCTGGGGCAAGAGGAAAAAGCCCGGCAATGAGCACCTGGCACCCACTCTCCAGGCCACCGTCGACCACTTCAGAAGGGTGGCCAGCCTCGTCATCACCACCAGCCTCGGGGACCCGAGCATGACGGCCCAGGACAGGGCAAGGGTGATGGATCACTGGATCCAGGTGGCCTAGGTGTGCTGTGTGAGGCCCAGTGGAGCCCCTCTCTGGAGCCTTGGGAACTCCACCGTTATCAGATCCCAGAATTGAAGTCTGTGGTCTAAGCCCCTGCACAGTCCCTAGGCCCTTCCTGCCAGAGGCCTGCAGACCTTGACTCCAGGTAACAGTGGGAGGATGCTCACTTCCTACTTGTATCCTTCCCTGGGTTGAGCTAAAGTCCTCCTCCCTGTGACTTTTACTCTTTGGGTCCTAAATTTGCCCTTCTAGGGCTCCCTGAGCATCTGTCTCATCTAGGAGGGGAGATTTAAATAGAAGAGGGTTGAAGCTAGAGCAAGCAGGGCTCCAGTGCCCCACCTCACAGCTCATTCTCTTCCTTTCCCTAGGAGTTCGAGACCCTGAAGAACTTCTGCTTGCCCCACGCTGTCATCTCTGCTTGGCAGAAAACCTCCATAAGCCACCTGAAGAACACACGGGGGGAAGATTCCTGGTGGGTAAGCTCCCTCCATAGGAGGACCAGTGTGGATGAATTATCTCCTGTATGTCTGCCATTGGCCCCTCAGTCAGCTGGGAACTCCTGGGAGGCAGCAAATGCTGGGGACAGGGCCTGGGCCTCGGCGGCCACTCTCTAAGCATCGTGTTGTGCTTAGTGCACCAGTTCCTCTTCAGGACTCGGTTTCCCTAAATGTCAGGTACTGGGTTGAGCCACATTGGAGATTTTCAAGTGTTTATAGCAACAGAAATCTATGCCCAGTTGAAATTCAAAGTGGTCAAAAGAGAGCTGCTCTGTAGAGCTGGGGAATGGAGACCCCAGTGACCAACAGGAGAGCCCCCGCCCAGTCTCACGAGACCTTAGCGATCAATGGAGCCCAGTGAGAACACTCCTTCAGGGAGGTTGAATCTCTCGGGTTGTCAAAGAAAAGGGATTTGCACTCAGACCCCTCACATTATCCCTAAATTTATCTTTCCCTCTTTCCCCTCCCCTCAGGGAGAACTATGAAAATCTTAAGGAGCGCTATAGCCAAGACGGGTCCTTGAGCAGAGAACTGATGACCAAGGTAAAGTGGAGGCTAGGGGACTGGAAAGAGAGGAGGAGTAGGGGGAATGGGACTGGGCGGCTGTGGTGTTGATAGTTTCTTACTAGAACTTTCTCTGAAACATTCCCGTCTATCTTGTCCAGGTTAACAAGCAGAGGGATCTGTTCGGCCCATGGGCCGGTGCGGTGTTGTTTTTGGGCAGGAGGCCCTGGTCACGGGACACAGTGGTGTTGGCTGGGCTGTTCCAGGATGAGTTGCTGAGCTGGTGCCATCAGCAGGTCTCTGGCTTTCATGCACGTCCATCTTGCTGGATGTAGCTTCTTCCAGGATGTTGGGTGGTTGGGGTGGGTTTAGCCCTCAGCCTAAACCTGTTTTCAGAAAGCCAGGGCACTGCTGCTCCTTCTGTCTTCACCACATCTCCAAGGGGAGGGCACACAGCCTGCCCCAGGGACGGGCATGGCAGGGGATTCCCACGGCCCAGGTGGACAAACAGGCTGCTCATCCTTGGGTCTGAAAGGCTGGACAAGAGACAGATGTGTGTGCATTCGGGGACTCCCCACTGGACCACTAGAGCAGTCACTTGAGTCAACCACAGGAGTCTCACCTGAGTGCCTGGTTGGCCATGACATATGCCCCAGGTGGCTTATGCGTAGCGTCTAGGCAACTGATGGATTCTTAGTGGATCCTGCTGAAAGGATGTTAGGAGCTTCATGTAAAAGAGGAAGCAAAGTGTCCTGTCACCCCCTTCCCTGTGGATCAGAGGTGGCACCTTGGGGGTCCAGTTCCTGAGTGGATAAGAAAGAGTTCAGTGCAGGGGAATTTCCTGAGGAGTTCCTTGGGGAGGAGAAGGCTTTGGCATGGCCTCTGGCCCAGCCTGGGGGCCAGACACAACACGGGAATAGGGCAGGCAGGAGCCACTCAATCAGACTCCCAAGACACCCCATCCTCTCCATCCATGGCTCTGCCCAGGACCAAGATTTGAGAGCTCAGGGGACAGGACTGTTGTCAGTGGTGAGGTTGGGGGTTAGGTGAGGATGTGGGAACAGGGCGTCTGGCTGGGAGGGGCAAGCGGACTCTCCTCTGTGGGCCCCTGAGCAACTCACTGCCCTTGTTTGGGCCTCTGTCTCCTCATAAGGGAAATGGAGGGATGGTCACCATGTGGTACAGGCCTCACAGGGTGGTGATGAGGAGGTAAGAGGGAGGAAAGGAATGTGGGAGCTTTTTGCCTGCTCCACCTGGAGGGGTGAGGGCGAGAACAATGATGACAGTCATGTGATACTGAGTCCTCAGGAGAACCTGTGAGGTAGCTGAAGTTCTCACACTTTCCAGATGAGGAAACAGGCTCAGGGAGGCCAGGCCAAATGCCCAAGCTCACACCCAGAGTGAGA